ACTTTTTCTAAATTAGTTTTATTATTAATTATTTTATTTTATCAAATTTTATTAATAACTTATTTTTATTACAGGCCAAATTTTTATCTTTATTTTTATTCTTTTTCTTTTTCGAAATTTTTACATTAAATACATATGTATAGTAAACTATGGTAAACTAATATGGTAAATAAACGGAAAATATGGTAAACTAAAAACGCTAAATATGTTTCAAAGACACTATTTAATTTATGAGGTCCTTACTAGTTTCAATCATATTAGATTTTTATTAAATTATATCATCAAGTACTTTAAAAGATATTTAAGGAAAACCTATTTCTAGTGGCGTTCCAGTGACGCATATCAGGGAGGGCCTGTAGGAAAAATCTCTATAGTAACTTGTGATCTTATCTTTTCCTGTTCTATCTGGATCCGAGAGTTTTCCCACACTTTCCGGGACACCCTGTATAGTTCGTTAATTAAATGAACCTGAATAATATTGACGTAAATAAAATAAATAAAGCAAACATATTATAAATTTTATTACAGAGATTATTACCTACAGATTATTAAAGATGTGATTTTCATTTTTGCGAATCTCGAGCTGAGGGCATACAGTGCATTTCTTTAATGTCCCCCCTTTTATTTTTTGAACGGATCAACTTAGAAAGTTGAAATTTGGGATAATGAAACTATATTTCCAACACAATTATTTCCATAACTCTTTTTGGAGAAAAGGGGAAAAAAATCATTCGTTGACAGTTGTTTGTGTGCTTATGTTGCAGTTATACATTCAAAAGAAAAATATGCTTAGAAATTGGCAACAATTTTAAAACAGAAGTACTATTGGCTAATATCGCTACCATCAAAATTCTAACTTAAATACTTTTTTTCGGAGGTTTGGGGTGGAATATTTCGCTGAAATTTTCTAATCTTCAATAAAATTTTTATAATTAACAAAATAAAAAATAGTTACGAAAGCTAAATAAGCCAAAGAATTACCCCCTTTCGGATGTACACGATGTTTAGGAACACCCTTTATAAAGGATGAGAAAATAAAATATTGTTTACTTCAGTTGACATATTATTTTAATGTTACAATCTATAATAAATTAACATTTCCAATCTAAGTTATTCTCAATCCTCTGAGTGCCGCTAACAGGTTATGGGCGCGGGTACGAATTGAGGAACCACGAATAAATTGAGAAAATTCGTTACTTCATAAATCGACAATATGAATACGAGTACTATGAGAATGGAATTACTTCACAAAGACAACGACGATACGTGAAAACTCCATATGCTGGCTATTCTAATTAAAAACGATATGTGGGAACATGTAAACGGCACTAATGCAAGATCAGATGCGAATAATGATAATGCAACCATAATCAGATGGGGGAAAAATGATCAAAAAGCGATCCGATATTATTTAATCAATTTCCCCGAGTGAATTCAAACAAGTGAAGAATTCCGAAAGGTTACGAGACATATGTTTGAAATTACAAGATACCAGTTAAAAGGACCAGCGAGAAAAGCTACACTTTTGAAAAGATTAATGCTACATAGGATGAATGACACTGACAACGTACGAGACCACCTCAATGAATTCTTCGATACAGTTGATAAGTTAGGCCTTTCAATTACTCTCGGCTGCTTGTGTTGGGACTCACATCTGCTAAGTCCCCAGTTTGTATCAGAAAATTTCCTGTGGTTCAAATTAAAAATCATCTTCAATTCATTCTAATAGTTTTGCCGTTTTGCCAGTCTCGTCCAGTTTCTAAAAACTCTCCTCTCATTTTAGATTTCCATCTAAAGACAGTCACATGAACTAAAGACGAATAAAGACAGTCTTAAGTCACATGAAATCACATAAAAAGTATGGTTAAGTATTTCCTAAATGTTTTAGGCAAGCCCAGTGAGCTGGAACTTTAGGCATTTCTTATTACTTTTAGGTATTACTTACTGCATGGTGAAACGCAAATTGTACTTAGGAATTCCTAAATCTGGTTTAGGTATTACCTAACTTTAGGAACTGGTTGGTGAAATCGGGCCTTAATGTTGGTAATTCCTAACTTATGAATTACTTAATTAGAAAATGCCTAAGAACATGTTGGTGAAATCGGGCATGAGTAATGCATCTATACAGGGTGACCCAGGGTCGCGTTAAAGTCCCATAACTTTTTACCTAATTGAGATATCGACTTAATTTTTTTTCCAAAGGTAGGTACAATAATACTGTATATTAATTAAATAGTTTCGTCTATATACAGGGTGGCTCAGTATTAGAAATTCACTAAAGTTACATTTTTTTTAATGGAACCCCCTGTATATTATAACATTTTTGAATTCTTTAGTGAATTTTAGTGTGACTTTATGTACCATACATTGTACCTAAAACCAATCGTTTAGTGGCAATTCGACATTTTCGAAAAAAGTAGAGGTTTGAAAAAAAAAATGAATATTGCCGCTTTTGTAGTGCCGCTTTTGTTCAATTAAAGGTAACTTGATTTTTTTAAATGAAACTACCTACTTTTTTGTACACCGTCTTGTAGGAAATTTTATTGCCTTTCTAACGATATAACATTGTCAATATTTTTACCTGCTAGTTTTCTTTTAATTCCGGAATGTTAAATTCTTAGCCGGCTGAAATCCAGTCTATTAGTGTACATTTCAACAGAATGTCGCGATTGTTCAACTGGACCACATGCCGCGATTTGTAGAGATACAAAGTTATTTGTGTTAAGTATGAGGTACAAAATTATTTAGAAACTAAATTTAATATTTTTTTTGGGATATTTCAAAAAAATATGTGTAGCGGTAGGTACAGTTTTGAAAGAGCAACAAATCTTGTTGAAATAAGGGAAAAAATAATTCAATTTTCTCCTAGAATTATACCTCAGCTCAGTAATATGAGATGACATCTGTATGACAGGTTTGGCTATTGTTTAGCAGAAAGTGGTGGACTATTTTTTAGAGTTCTTTTATTTTCTGTTTTAAAATTATCTTTAAGTTTATCCTTTTTATTATCTTCTTAGAATTTACTTTCTTTTTCAAGCCATTGTGACAAAAAAAACATATCTACATAATTCTATTTTAATATTAGTGATATTTTTTCAATAAATTATTGTTTAAAAATTCTCAATTCTTTTTATTCGACTCGACGTTCACCCATCCGAACCCGTTTTGATACTGTCGAAGTGTCGAAACCATCGAAATTATTTGATTTTTAGTCTAACCGAACCAAAGCCCGATGTAAAGTCCAGTAGAACAATTAAATTTATTAGAATTTATCGCGACGTTCTATTGAAATGTACAGTGGTAGACTGGATTTCAGACGGCTAAGAATTTAACATTAATTTCCCTATTATGCGCGAATAATTTTCCAACGGTGTATACAGGGTATACCACGGTCGATGGCGTTGCCACTTCTATCGAAAAGTAGCAGCAACTTTGTTATTTTAAATGAGACACCCTGTATATTTTTACATTTTTTGCTCCGCTATTGCTTTCCGATTATTTTTGTATAATACTTCCTTATACCTATCTTTAGCGCTTTTCGAGAAATTCATTATTTTATTTAATTTTTTATTCAAAACATAGCTCCATTTAAATGTTGATTACTGCGGTAATTAGATTAGGAGAAAGCTGAAATTTTGGGATTAGCTTAGAGATGCCTTAGGTATTAGTTCGCTATTTTTTTTATTTATACAGGGTTGTTCAAAAATTGTCATTTTATCGCTAGATATACAAATGCTAATGAGTTCATTTTTTTAAATGGGACACCCGGTATGTTTTTTAATATTCAAAAAGATAATTAAATTCTCTTTCAAATTGTACATCATGTTCGTATACCGAAATAATCAGGTTTCCGAAATAAAAGAAAATTTCTATAAAAATCTGATTATTTTGGGAATTTGTATTAGGTAGCTGTGAAATCATGAAATGTCATCCAAATTTGACATTAAATTTGAAATTAATGATTCTTTGATGAACAAATTTATCAATAAGAGAAATATTAAAATTACTTACAAAATTACTTACATAAATGTATAAAAAATATCGATAAATTCGAGATGCCTATTCAGCGGATTTCAATGAAGTAGTAATTAACAGACGTAATTTGAAAAATAATGATCCCGAGAAAATAAATTGCGCTGAATGAATCGTCAAGTACAGTGGTGCCTTTTTATAAGATTTACAATCTGTATACAATCTATATCCTTTACATTAGATGGCATCAAAAGTATTATAATTTAAATCAATTGCCGAAATTAAATTAAATTCGGTTAAAACATGTTAATCATGTTACAAAATAAAATACATGCACAAGCAAAATTAACAAACAATAAAACTATTATCGCGATTACCTTGCGTCTTATTTAAATAACAGATATTTTTAGTCTGGATATGTAACTAGGGAGAATTTTGAAAATTGAAGAAGAGACCGATAAATAAAATTATACGTAGGTAAACGTATTTTTATTTTATTGCAACTATTTCTGGTTTTTGAGGGTGATTGATGATAACTTCACCATCTAAAACAACTACAATCCCTTTAATATAATATATAATCTGTAATTTATTTGGTGAGTATTTGTTAGTGTGCTCTTCCCTTTTAAATCTTGTTTCTACTTGTATAGTGTTAGTCCAAGGAATACCAAATTTGAAACGTAGAAAAGTTTTTTTGTTACAAAAAATGCATCAACGGTCTGACCATGCTTCACAAGTCTCACGAGCATGCATACAGTACGTTAAGATCAAGCGCGGAGCAATCTCGCTACGGGATAGGAAATTCATTAGCAAAACAAAAAGAAAATTAAAAATCGCTTGTTTCGATCGTGTATACATATGCCATAGAATCCATTACACCGTCTCTCTCAATTTTTGCTCCGCGCTAGATCTAACGCACGGTATATGTATGAGATCATAACCTTTTACATAAACGACAACTGACCACTCCCAGTGCCGCCAATACAACTCATACCGTTGAAATGGCACTATGCCTTTTACTAGGCAATTTACAGCCCATAACGGCACAAATGGCTGGTGGAACCTTTTTTTTAATTTTTTTATTTTGTTACAATTATTATTTTATCTACAATGATATCCACATTAATTAGTGGCTATACCACAATGAATACACCAGTTCTCGTCCGATCACTGCAGCTATGTATTATTGGGCGCGGTTAGTACTTGGATGGGTGACCGCTTGGGAATACCAAATATGTTACAAATACCTTTATAGTGCTATCGACGTATGAATTAAGGTAGCAGATGTTGGGAATGTCCTCCACCCTCTACTTAACAGGCTCCAAGGCGATGGTAAAACCTAATATCGGTAGCCTATATTTAATTCTGAATGAATTTTTATTAAAAACAGGCGAGTCTGGGCAGGCAGTACACCAAATTTTATTTGATTTACCGTTTAAAACTGATAAGGCAACTTAGCATCAACATTCGCTGAAAATTATGTTTTAAGAAAAAACTATTTTAAGCCATTGTTGATCAGTGAACTTCAAAAAGGAAAAAAGATATTCCATTTTTGTACATGTTTTGTATTTCCAAATAACAACATGAGAAAAAATAAACAAAAAGTATGTTTTAGATTCCATTTTTCACGGGCTTTTCAATGTTTGTTCAATGTTTTCAAATTTTTTGTTTAAATTACTGGTTCAAAAGATAATTATTTTATTCCGGACTTTTGTCCAACTCTGTATAAAACAATTATTAATCCTTAAAAGATAAACTAGGAACCATTTTTTAATTCAAATTCATTAAAAAGGTTAGCCGACAGTTCTAATTTGACACTTTTGTCACTATTTGTTGCCTACCCAGTTTGACTTCTGCGTTCCCCTTACCTCAGTCACCCTCTTCTCTAAAGTCAGACCTAATGCCAAATTTTTTTATAAATCTCCTTGAAAGATGCTGAAGTGGAATAGTTATTATATGCGTCATTGAAAATCAAAGTACCCACACATACAGTGCATTTCATTAATGTCCCCCCCTTTTATTTTTTGAACGGATCAACTTAGAAAATTGAAATTTGGGATAATGAAACTAATGCATGATTACTATATTTTGGAGTAAAATTGACAGATGAAAATTTCAAGATGGCGACTGGGCGCCATCTTGGGAAATAAATTTAAATGGAAAGGGGTGTCTTGTGATACATCATTTTGAAGCTCCTGACAAATACTCTACAACCCTGAAATATAAAGTCAATATCTGCACCTGCTACAAAATGGCGGAACATTTAATAATTACCTGAATACAAACAAAATAATATCAATTTATCTAGAAATATTTGTTTTTCTATGGCAAACAGCAATCCCAGCAAACCGATAAGGTTTGACAGGTTATTTTTGGTTAAAAAAATTCCAAAAAATTTAAGTACGACAACGAACATTAATTGTTTAGTCAAAATATGCTCATTTAGTTTTTCGTTTTCCTAGTGTTCAAAATATTCTCTTTAGTTTTCGATTTTCCTAGTGTTCAAAGTATTTTCATTTAGTTTTCGGTTGTTTAGTTCTCATTGCAGTTAGGTAGCACGTCAACTAACTCTAAAATGGCCAATTCTCGTCCATTGGAAGATGGAGCACCACCACATTACTCCAGACAAGTAATGAACTATTTGGATGCTATTTCCCCTGGTCGTTGGATCGTTGGATTGGTCGTCGAGGTCCTACGGAATGGATTTGACCAGAATTTGACCAGATTTGACACCTTTAGACTTTTTTTATGGGGCTATTTGAAGCAAAATGTGTACGAAACTAAACCTGCTTCAATATTGGATATACGAGAAATAATTACAGATATTTGTAAAAATATCGACGTTACTATGTTCGAAAATGTTCGGATAGGCTGTTCTTGTATCAAGAAGTTCAAGGCAACCATTTCGAGCTTTTTTTGAACAGAACTCAGCTTATTTCCTCAAATTATGACGTTAAACGTCGATTTATTCAGGTAATTATTAAATGTCCGCCATTTTGTAGCAGGTGCAGATATTGACTTTATATTCCAGGGTTGTAGAGTATTTGTTAGGAGCTTCAAAATGATGTATCACAAGACCCCCCTTTCCATTTAAATTTATTTTCCAAGATGGCGCCCAGTCGCCATATTGAAATTTTCGTCTGTCAATTTTACTCCAAAATATAGTAATCATGCATTAGTTTCATTATCCCAAATTTCAATTTTCTAAGTTGATCCGTTCAAAAAATAAAAGGGGGGGGGCATTAAAGAAATGCACTGTATAAATGAATAAAAATTCCATGAATAACTTTTAAACTACAGTTAAATATTTTGGCGTTTCACCAACACTTTTAATCTTTAGCTATTTAACAGTTTAAACAAATATTTCTGCCCTTTAGAATTCAAATTTTTCCAAAAAGAGAAGATTTCGAACTGAATTGTTAGGTTATTTTTTGGTTTTTCGTCACCCTAATATTACAAGGTCGTATGTAACAATTATCCCAAAATGAGAGAAATTGGTTTAAAAAAATTACCTCAGGTACAAGTCAGTCGGTTTTGTGTTTTTTAAAATTTTATTTAAAAGGGTGTTTATTTGGGGCAATCTAAGTGTTTTTAATAAAAAAAATCCAAAACAATGCAATATTATCAAAAAAAACTTTATTTAAAAAAAAACATAGAACTCTGATAATCTTAAACTTTTCTTTTTTTCAAAAATAGGTAACATAGAACTTTGGAACTTAACAATATTTTCCTAAAAAACAAAATAAAAAAAGATTCTAATTTTTTTTTTTATTTAAAATAGAATCATAATATTGCCTATCCATTTCAGGAATCCACTTATACATGGATTTTATTGCATCCACCTTAGCTTGTGGCAGTGCAACAATTTTATCACACTTTTTTAATGTCAAAGGAATGGTCGGTTCTGTTTCGACCGTAACGTGAGCCTTTCGCAATTTTCGTTGATGCAAGTTTACAGTCTTGTATGCCTCAGATTCTCCTGTCGGTTCAAAAGATTCCTTATACTTCAGTTCATAAAAGTTTCTTGAAAATTGTAAAGATACTATTTTTGAAAATGGGACAGTGTTGTAATTCAACTGACTTGAATAGGACTGAAAATCTATGAAGTCTTGTTTCTTCATCTGAATTACTGTGTAAGGTTTTTGTCGGTTTACTTTCAGTAGGAAGCGAAGAAGTGACACCGGAGAATAATACTCTACTTTATTTAATGACCTTTCTATAGAGCTGTGGATTGCATCTACTTCTTGAATACAAGAATGTCCTGGAACAGAAAATTTCATTGTGATATTTTGTAGATTTTTGTGGGTTTGAATAAGGTGAGAGAGAGCATAGCTCATGTGACTGTTTCTGTTCTGAGGAACACAGCTATCGCTCCACAAAATTATTTCTGTAAATTCTGGATGGTCCTCCATTATTTTATCCAATATTTTATAGACCGCGCTTGCCATGTCATTTCCTGTTCTCCCATGTAAAGCCTCGGTCCATATCGCACAATAAACTTTTTTTCCGACGGATAGGTGACCAGTCATGTTGTAAACATTCAATTTGCTCTTATAAAAAAAGTTTTTTATATCTGCCTTTGGACAAGTTAACACGTTTTCGAGATCAAAACATAATATGGGCTTTCCACTTTCCTTATCTTTTTGTTTCTGTTCCCTCATGTATTCTTTTTCTTTCATATGATTTATATGCATTCTTTCTGACTTCTCATCTACCGTATTCTCTTGTTTTTTCACTTTCATTTCTTCGCAAGTATCGCATCTATCTTTTCGTGGTTTATGAAATGCTATGTTGAAAGAATTGCAAAATATTTTTCTATATACGCAAAATGAAACCGGTGTTTTTTCATGATCCTTTGCATATTCTAAATACAATTCATACAACTTTTTAATGCTCATTTCGCTTTCGAAATATTCTTTGTTGCTTTTCTTGCGACAATAATGTGATTCCACTCGCGGAATCATGTTAATATGCAACTTAACGAAATCACTATCTTCAGGTGATGTTACCCGTTTTTGATGTTTTCCTTGCTTACTTTCACGTAATGTATTGGTCAAGGTTTTATTTCCATGAACTGTATAGATTGGTTTCTGGCTAATACATAACGTGCCAGTATAGAAAGCTTTGCATACTTGAATTTTATGTCCATTTAACTCAAAGTAAAACCTAAAGGTTCTACTCTTTTTAGAATTTTCATTATTCTTGCCTTTTCTTCTTCTCCAAGGAACATCAACTTCGGTGGTGTGTAAAATATAATTTTTCTTTTCAGCAGCAGAAAGCAAATAATAGTTTTTAAAAATTTCCTTTCTTTGATCGTCACTTATTTTGCGAGAGCACTTAAATAAGCATTTCTGGATACAATCTTTTGTATTTTTAATTTCTCTTGCCGGAACTGCTTTTTTTCGGGAAGAAATATAGTCAAGGCCCCGATCAAATCTTGCTTTTCTTATATTACATGCCCATTCTGAAGTATTATTCTTCCGTTTTCGTGACAACTTTTTTTTTGTTTCATCGATTATATCTTCTCTAGGACCAGTTGTTGGATTTTGAGGATTTTCTGAGATATGGTTACTATCAGAATCCTGAGGACGGGGTTCTTCTTCAGATGCTTCTTCGATGTGGATTTCATTGTTTACCGAATCTTGTTTTCTCGCTGGAGACCCTAGTATTCGGATCATAGAACAACCAGGCTGACTCCTGAAAAAAAAATTATATAAAAGTATCCCAAACGCCAAGATTATGCTATAACGGATGCCATTACCTGCTGGAATCAGTTTCTAAATTTGAAGAAGCATCTTTACTTGCATCATATTGCATTTGCAGATTTTTGGATTTTAAATCATGCCTATTATTATTATTTATGGTTAATTTCTTAATCACAGAGCAACCAGGTTTTTTTCTAAAAAAGACAACAAAAACTATGTGTCAAGCTGTTTTTCGTACAAAAAATATACAATACTATACCTTCTTAAATCAGTTTCTAAAATTGAATTATGATTTTCACTGCTACTACTACTGCTTGAAGATGACCTGGGAACGTTGTAATAGCGGCCGCGAATTTGTATTCTAGACAAAAATATTGTTTCAAGTCCCCCAATATAATCTACAAAATAATCTCTTACCTGCATGTTTTGTTTGATGTTTCTTGATGTGGTATGAATTCCCCATCTTTATCAGAGTCATAGCCGTGGCCATCACTTAAATCAATATCACTCATTTTGATATTCAAACACAAAACACTGCCAGAAACCGTTAATTATCGCCTACAATTTAGAACTAAACAATGTAACATAACCTCAAATTTGTAGAAAATGAATAACAAGGTTGTATGTTACAACATAGAACTAAGTAATATTATTTTCATTTAAAAATATATATTACGAAGTCCTATGTTTAACATACATCCTTGGTATACACATAACCTATTATTTTGAACATACACCTTTGATTTTTACATGAATAACAGAGTTCTATGACCGCTAGAGAGTTCGTTCGATAATTGTAATACAGTTTATATCACATAGGATGTTGTTACACCAAAAACTTGAAATATTCAAAAATGTTACATACGACCTTGTAATATTAGGGTGACGTTTTGTCAATGTGACATGTGAATATTGTTATTTTCGGTTTTGTCAACGTGTTGTTTGGTGTTCTGAGTAATTGTTTGCTGTTCCGGCATAATTCGTTTTTTGTTTGGATCATGTTTGAGACCTGTAAAACTGGGGCCTGTTTCATATAACTGACAAGTCCTGTTTACAAGTGTAGTCTAAATTTGACTGGAGTATTTGACAAGTTTGTGTTTCATAAAATTACACGAGTAGATTATTAGTGACAAGTGACTAGCCTTATATTACGAGTCTGTTTTACAATTGTAGATAGGTTTGCGTTTCATAAAAAATAAATTAAACAACACTTGTCATTTAATCCTATCATATATTAGTGTAAAGCGACAGGGACTTGATTTCCTGTCACCATCCAATTTTCTTGTAAATTTAAAAGAAAATGTGGTCTAGCGACAGTGAGGAGATAGCTTAATGGAAGTTTAATAAAGGATTTTGAATGAATTCGATAAAAATGGGGGAAATAATAAAATCTATTGGTCTCCCCTAATGTATAGAACCAACGTATAGAAATTATGCATTATCTTTGTTCGTTTCAATGCTCACATTTTATAGCTTTTGTAGGAGTGGGACAAAATTTTCCAAATAGAATGCCCATTCTTTGTTAGAATAATTGAAAATTAAATAAATGCTGCTGCATTTTGGAAATAAGTTTTTTGTCAATAAACGAAATTGTCGTGGTTCACATCTAAAAATAGCTCCAACCAGGAAAAAAAAACAATTTCAAAGTAAAAGTTTCCCAATATCGAAAAACGAAGGTTGTGCTATACTTATGCTCCTCAGTATTGTTGTTGTTTTTATGCGGGCGGTCTTTCCAGCCCCGTGACCACCTAGATCTAATGATCCTCAGTATAGTAAGTACTATTTTTTTCTTTTTGGCTTAAGTCTGACGTTTAATTAATATTACAGGTAGAAAAACGGATGTCATAAATGTAATTCGACAAGTGTCGAAATTTATTTTATGAAACGAAATTTTTAAATACTTGTCAACCAACACTTATAACTTGTCGACTTGTAACTTGTCAACTTGTCAGTTATATGAAACAGGCCCCTGTTCTCGTTTGAAGTGAGAACTTTCAGAACATTTTGAAAATGAGTATGGTTATATTAGTTTGTTGTTCCAATCTTATAACGAACTTGTATACATCAGGACATGCGCAATACAATATTGATACAAACAAAATTTGACCGTGCAAAGAAAGAAAAAAAAATTACTTGGAAGAGGAGAAGGAAAATTTAATAACGATACTTCTTTCTAAAACAATTTGAGGGCGTATAATGATGATCTTCATCGGATGACGTTGAAGATGAAGATGATGCCAAAAATCTAATAAATGAATAATTTTGAAATATATTAAAAAGTAAATAATATTTGTATTATATGCTGCTCCACAAAAGTTAAGGAAGTTCACAAATATTGAGATTAATATAAAAAGCAGATTTTTTATCGCCAAATTTAATACGAGTTGTAAAGGAAGGGACAACTCAGACATGAGATAAAACATTTAATTTCGTATATTTGAAAATTTGGTGATCAATAAGTCTGTAACTTTTAATATAATCGCAAATTTTGCGAACTTCCTTAACTTTTATAGAGCAGTTTATTTTACCTATTATCCATTATTCTCAAACAAACTGAAAATACAACCAATAAATAAAAATAAAAATTCGCAATCCAAAATAACACTTATAAGATATTACAAATTATTATTATTTGAGGTTAGAAAACATCAAAGAAAACTTTAACTGTCCAAATTTCGTTGGTTAATTTAAACGCCAATTTAATCGTCGAATAAAACTATTAATTGTTGGTGTTGGTGAAACAAAATTGTGTATTTTTATTGAACAGTTAAATTTATTCATCGAATAAAGTCTTATTTGTAGTTGGTGAAAACGGACATAAGACAATTTATCGGCCTATTAAAAAATAAAATTCACTTTCGAATTCAAAAAGTTGTTGAAATATACCAAGCCCAAAACAACACCCTGTATATCATTTCTAAATATTTTTACAAAGAGATGGATTACATATTTAAATAGACCTATAAATCTATAGACTATTTAAATGTGTTGCAGCTAATTGTTAGGACGTTGTTTGTTCCAATCGCGCATCAGGTAAGAAATTTTATTTTATTAGGTAATTTCGAAAAATAATTTTATTTTAGAATATATTTTTAATATTTTATGATGAATATGAATATGAATATGAATATTTTTAATGATTATTATTTTCGAATAAATTAATTTTAATAAATATTCATCATTTTTATTATACATTTTTTTTATACATTATACATTTTTTTTTATTTTTTATACTTTTTATAAACTTTTTTTATTATACTTTTTTATATTTTTTTAATTATACATTTTTATTAAAAATGAAATAGAGAATTTTAAAATTGTCATTTTCTGATATTTTTTTCAAAAATTAAGCAACCTTGTAATAATACCTACTTGACGAAAAAACTGAATAACTACATCATTGATTAGAATAATTTTAAATTAAAACCGTTGATTTCTTAACAATTAACATTATTTTCCAGTTCACGTGTCACTTTTTGTTGTTTTACAGATACCCAAACATATAAAAATGGAGTTACTTTTATTAATTTACGCATTAATGACTCTTGCTGTAGCTTTTTACTTTTTTGTAAAGTGGAGATATAATTATTGGAGGAGTAGAAACGTAGTCACTTTAGAACCTACGTTTTTCTTTGGTAATTTAAGAACTCCAAAAGGGAAATATATCACGCTAGTAGATGCAATTGTGAATGCTTACAAAGCAGCAAAAGCCAAAGGTGAAAGGTATGCCGGTGTATACATGTTCGTTACACCGCAATTCGTACCATTGGACAGAGAATTAATCAGAAGTATTCTGTTTACCGATTTTGACCACTTTGTTAACCGCGGTTAATCTTAGGACAAAATTAACCCCGGCGTTTACAACAGGTATAAATTTAATATAAAAAAAACTTAAAGGGAAATTTAAAACTTGAACGACAAAATTTTATTTAGGTAAAATGAAGATGATGTTCGAAAGGGTGTTGGAATGTACAACAGGACTTGAAGAAATGTTAAAAGAGCGTAGCGTTGCTGTGGATATTAAAGATATTCTGTGCAGATTCACAACTGACGTTATAGGATCAGTAGCTTTCGGACTAGAATTTAACAGCATGAAGGATGCCAATATCAAATTGAGAAAGTATGGTGATTATACTTTCGAAAACAGTTGGCGCAAGAGGTTCAGTATTTTCCTCGAGAATACGTTTCCTACAAGGTTCATAAACATCGTAAATGAAGTGGGTTTTTCATCAAGGAAAAAAGAAATCGAAACGTACTTCGTAGACATGATTCGAAAAACTGTTGACTACAGAGAAAAGAACAACGTTTTTCGCAAGGATGCTTTGCATCTTCTGATTCAATTAAAAAATACGGGTAGAGTGTTGGGAGATGAAGAAGCAGCTTTAAAGGGAGACAATGAAAATGTTACGGGTGGTATAACGATGAATGAGTTGGCAGCACAGGCTTTCGTATTTTTCGTTGCTGGCTTTGAAACATCTGCGACTACAATGACATTTGCTTTGTTAGAATTGGCACAAAATCCGGTTGTTCAAGAGAAATTAAGACAAGAAATCAAACAAACTCTTAAACAAAACGAAAACAAATTAACCTACGAATCGCTTTTGGGAATGGAGTATTTAGAAAAGGTAATTTCAGGTAAGTTACAATAGTATGAAAATAATAAATGTTAAAATTATGGTGGCAATATGTTGTAGTTCTTGTAGTTTTGAACGATTTCGTTCGCGACATTACCAATTCGGCATTACCGCGACATTACCAAATCGGCGCGTGCATCAGAAAAGTTGTATATCTTACTTTAACGTTTAACTTTAGCGTGACTCTAAAGTCGCATCTCTAGTCAATAATGTACAACTGTCAAGTTAGAGAAGCGACTTTAGAGTCACATTAAGGTTAAAGTGAGGCGCTAAAATTAAGTAAAGCGCTGAATACTGCCCATTGACTCAAACTCAAACAACAAAAACAAAGAATGACTAACTCCCGCCTTACACGTCTTTTTCTAACCTAGCTACTTCTTCATTTTTTTGTACATACGTAATAAACTTACAATAGAGCACTCCAACGAACTGTCACGATCAGCTGATGTCATGGCCGCTGAAAGACAAATAAAGAATATTGCCCCAATAGTTCAGTGATATTTTGTGTGATTTAAAAGTGTTTAAAAATATTTCAAAGGTATTTCGTTAATTTAATAGGTATTTCGTCATAAACATCGTAAATGAAGTGGGTTTTTCATCAAGGAAAAAAGAAATCGAAACGTACTTCGTAGACATGATTCGAAAAACTGTTGACTACAGAGAAAAGAACAACGTTTTTCGCAAGGATGCTTTGCATCTTCTGATTCAATTAAAAAATACCGGTAGAGTGTTGGGAGATGACGAAGCGACTTTAAAGGGAGACAATGAAAATGTTACGGGTAGTATAACGATGAATGAGTTGGCAGCACAGGCTTTCGTATTTTTCGTTGCTGGCTTTGAAACATCTGCGACTACAATGACATTTGCTTTGTTAGAATTGGCACAAAATCCGGTTGTTCAAGAGAAATTAAGACAAGAAATCAAACAAACTCTTAAACAAAACGACAACAAATTAACCTACGAATCGCTTTTGGGAATGGAGTATTTAGAAAAGGTAATTTCCGGTAAGTCACAATAGTATGAAAATAATAAATGTTAAAATTACGCGCCAATTATCTCCCTTAAATAAAATAAAATAAATACTTGGCAAGGCCGCGAACGAAATCGTTCAAGACCACTAGATTGCGTACGTGCGCAGAAGGAGTTGCGTACTCTTACGGGTGTAACTACAACAATACCATTATGGTTCTATTTTTAACGACAAACTGTGACCTTTTACAATCGTTTTTAATATGAACAAACTAATTGAAAGTAACTGGAACACATTGACTTAAACAACAAAAACAAAGAATGATTAACTCCCGCCTTACAGGTCTTTTTCTAACCTAGCTACTTTTTAATTTTTATGTATAAACGTAATTAACTTACAATATAAGGCATCAATTCTACATATAATTCCGTCATTGTTTCTCAACAAAAAAAAACTATTAAAGCAGTGCTATATTTTTAGAAACATTAAGAATGCATCCGCCAATTCATCGGTTAGCGCGTTTGTGTAACAAGGATTTTAATATTCCAAACAGCGATTTGGTAATCAAATCGCAAACGCAAGTACTAGTTCCGGTACTTGCTATTCATAACGATCCCGAGTATTACCCGAATCCAGAAAAATTCGATCCGGAAAGGTTCAGCAAGGAAGCGAAAGCCTGTAGACCTTCCATGACTTACTTTCCGTTTGGAGATGGACCACAAAATTGCATAGGTAAGCACTTAAAAAAATAAGCAAATAATAATTATTATAAGTTACAATTTTCATCTAGCATTGCATAATTTTGATTAATTTAATTTTCAGGTCAGAGATTTGGGAAACTTCAAGCCAAACTTGGTTTGTGTACAGTAGTGTCAAATTTTAATGTTACACTAAATGAAAAAACCAAGTTACCAATAGAGTATGACTTAATTACGGTCATTACTGTTAAAGGCAATTTTTGGTTGAATTTGGAACCTTTGGAAAAGTAACCAGCTATTATTCATTGTTAACGATTATTTTATAATATTGGGTATTGGGTGTGTATAATATTAGATACAGATTAATTCATTTTAGTTTGCAATATAGGCTATGGGTGCGATAAAGACAAAATCTATTAGACCCTTATAAAAGAAAAAGAAAGAGTGATATTGTCTCATTGCAACTTTTCACTCTAACAAATGTTATTTTAATAATCTTTCTTTATTCAACTCGTAGAAATGACCATATTGCAAACTGAAATGGTCCATATGATGTAGGTACCTAGGTACTCCTAAAATGTTTTATTGCATTGTATAAAATAAATACTCGTATTAGAAAAATTCTTAAATTTTCATTTACATTAAAACACAAAGTGAATGTAGAGATTTAAATAAAGTGCAGACAAACTTCATAAAAAATATTCCTTTATTTATCCTTTGCTATTTATGATTTCTTAAAGTTACAGTGAAAAACTTGTTTCCAAAAATTTCTGAACGTACACTAAGAACAAAAACCTATTGACTTCGATTTAAATCAGTGCTTTACGTGAGTTATTTCTAATAAATAAAAATTGTAAGCGGAGAAGGAAGAACAACGAAAGTTCTGTTTGCTTTTTAAATTGTCTTCCTTCTCATTGAAAGTTCCTTCATAAATATGCTCGGGAAATAATTAACGAAAAAAATATAAGAAGGGAATGAATATCTACTTACAGTTAAATGGCTGCATTAAATGTTGCACATAGAAACAGATCAATTTCATATCTTTATGTATTTTTGCTTTCTATTAAGATAATGCGTTTTCTAATTATTCCATTATATTTTTTTACAAATTTTTACTATTGTTAACAGATTTAATTTTAAATTAGACAAATATTAAAAACAATTACATCGAACAAACACAAATATTTTAGCAACTACTTTACTTCAAGACAACTGAATCATGATAATTGGTATAGCGTATTAATCTATACATACAGGGCGTGTCACGTAATTTAATATTATAATTTACTTGATTCATATGGATTAAAATTCTAGGCTGTTAATGTGTTGTAATGAAATAATAATAATAATAATAATAATAATAATTAAATATTACGTAAAACTGTAAAAATATTTTTCTGTAGCATTTCTAATTGATTGCATTGGACGTATTTGTTGCCAATAAAATTATGTTTTATTCAACCTCATAGCTGCAACCCTTGAAACATGCTTAACATGTTTTAACCAAATTTAATATATTTTCTACAAATTATTTTAATTATAATACTTTTAGTGCCATATATTGTATTTGTATATCTACTAATATTATAAAGAGGCACCACTGTACTCGATAATTCGTTCTGCGCAATTCATTTTTCGGACCATCATTTTCATTTTTCTAGTAACGAATATTAATTACTACTTGATTGAAATCCGCCAAATTGGCATCTCGAATTAGTCGATCTGTGTTATACATTCATGTAAGTAATTTTAATAATTTTCTTATTGAAAATTTTGTTCATTTAAACCTATATGGGTATGTGCGTAATGTTAATTATTTAATTAGAATCAATAATTTTAAATTTAAATTCACATATTTTAACGGTACGGAGACGCCATTTTGTAATTTAATAATTTAAGTTTAATTCACATTCAAGTATTAAGATTTTAAATATTATTTTGTTCTTTAAAATATCTTAAATCGAAAATATTTGTAAATTTAATTCGCACAAATATCCCAGACTAATTTTATCGTTACATTTGGGATTAAGACATTGCGTTTTCATTTTTCCAGTGGAATACGCTCACAGATTAACAGATAGATTAACAGATTGATGAACTGATTGATCAACAGATTGATTAACTGATCGATCATTGAATGATGATAAATTAATCTATCTTCGAGATATCGAATCAAGATCTCATCATCAGCAATACCTTTGCTGTATACTACCTTCCTTAGTTTGAAGTAATTATCATTGCAGCTGGAAATCTCCAGGACCGATTTGGAAATTTAACGATAGACGTTGATAGTCGATAGTCAGGTTTGATAACCTTAAGATTTAAGAAATTTAAGAAAGTAATTGTTAAATCCGTGCGAATTTTTTAATATATGTTCTTTGTGTTGTGACCTACTACATACCAGGAACCGGGTGTTTGATGATTAGTGTTTCAAAACGTCGTATTACGGGTTACAGGATGTAATAATAGATTATTCTAACTATAATCTTAGTTTTACTAAGTAGAACAAAATAATGCGTGACAATGTCCCGCCGAACAATATAGGTTATATTAAGTCGTAATTCGAAAGTCATTCTTCTTCTCCCGCGAAGTAGTTCCATGCGTGGCCTCTACCCAGAAGCACGTACAACCGAACATGGCCCCACGTTTGAAGAAAACTTCAAAAGTCTCGAACGATTTAGTTAGCGTCAATAGGTAAGACGCAAATCTTGGAGAAGGTGCGTTTGATGACACCGCACTGAGTCTGAATACTGGCAACGCGAGATACACCATCATTGCCTTGATGAAGTTGAACTATGCGGCCCAAACGCCATTGCTGTGGAGGAAGTCGATCATCGCGAATGACGACCAAATGGCCAATTTTGAGTTGGCCATGGTTGGAGCGCCATTTTTGTCGAGACTGGAGCTCGCCGATGTACTCCACAGACCAGCGGGACCAAAAGTGCTGGCAAAGCTGTTGGAGAAGCTGAAATCTCGACAGTCGATTTAATGGGATATCCAGAAGATCAGGATCGGGCAGCGTAGATGCCTTCCGGCCAATGAGAAAATGCGAAGGGCTGAGAGCAGAAGGATCACTAGGATCTGTGGAGAGAGGAGTAAGAGGGCGAGAATTTAGGATGCTTTCAATCTGGGCGAGTACGGTAGAAAATTCTTCAAATGTCAATGAAGCATTAGCTAATACGCGTTTAATATGAAATTTGGCAGATTTGATGCCAGCCTCCCAAAGACCACCAAAATGGGGTGAATACGGTGGAATGAAATGCCAATCAACCCCCTCCTGGGAAGCAGACTCAATAACTTGGTTTGCCTGGGTTTGAAGAAATTCACCTAATTCCCTTAACTCAGATTGAGCCCCAGTGAAATTAGTGCCATTATCTGAGTAGACACGAGCTGGCCTACCTCTACGAGCAACAAATCGTCGGAAAGCTGCTAAAAAGGATGTAGTTGAGAGGTCTGACACGACCTCAATATGAATTGCCTTTGTTGCAAAGCAAATAAATAAACTTATATAGCATTTACTAGATTTACTTCCTCTTCCGCGCTTAGTGATTATGCGGAAGGGTCCTGCATAGTCAATACCAATAATGTGGAAGGGAAATTTAGGGGTAACGCGAGATGCAGGCAACTGTCCCATTATGGGGTTTATGCCTTTAGGTCGACATCTATAGCATCTAATACATTCATGCACGATACGCTTAGCAAGGTTTTTACCATGGACAGGCCAAATGGTCTCTCTTAACGAGGCAAGTAAAAGTTGTGGACCAGCATGGCCTAACCGGATATGTTCATGCCGAAATAGGAGAGTAGCTAACGGATGTTGAGACGAAATGACGATGGGATGCTTTTTATCATACGGAAAATTTGACTTATGCAGTCTACCTCCGACGCGAATGAGTCCATCCTCATCCAAGAACGGATTCAACGAGATAATATTACTCTTAGACCCAACAGGACGATTGTTTTTAAGGTCAACGAGTTCTTGATAAAAGGATTGGTTTTGGGAAATCCGCAACAAGGTATGCAGCGATTGATAAAGGTCTCTTGAACGAAGGGGGCCTATCTCGCGATCGGATTTCTTGGACAAACAATTTAATTTTAAACGCAAACAGTAAGCAACGACCCGCTGCATTCGGGTAAAGGTAGAAAAGATTTTGAAAGGAAATTCTAGGTGGGCTATAGTCGTAACCAACATGGTGACATGGGGTTTCAGCTCAGGTAAGGCACATGGCTCAAGGTTACATTGAGTTGAAGGCCAATGTGATTGAGGTAATGAAAGCCAAGAGGGACCGTACCACCACAGAGAATGTTCTCGTATTTGGTTTGGAGCTATCCCACGAGTTAAAAGATCCGATGGATTTTCTTTAGTATTTACATATTGCCAATCATTGGCATTGGTCAAAGTTTGTATTTGGCTCACACGGTTGGAGACGAATACTTTTAATCGATGAGGTTCAGTTCTGATCCAGCAAAGAACGGTGGTGGAATCACACCAATAATGTTGGGAATCAAATCTAATTTTTAGCGACTTTATCGCCTTTTGAACCAATTTTGCTAAGACAAGTGCAGCACAAAGCTCCAGTTTTGGAATTGTCAACTGCTTTAAGGGGGCAACCCTGGACTTAGCTACTAATAGGCTAACAGATATATTGCCGGATGCGTCGATACTGCGCAAGAAAATACATGCTCCGTACGCATCTAAAGACGCATCTGCAAAGCCGTGTAATTCAAGGCGAATTGGTTGGTGGCATATGACATGCCTAGGAATGCGGATATCATTGAGACAGGGCAACAACTGCTGAAACTGGCACCAAGAAGTTTTAATAGAGGCAGGAACCGGATCGTCCCATTCCAATTTTAATAACCAAAGCTTCTGGAGTATGATTTTTATGGTTATAACGCAGGGGCCTAGGAGTCCCAGCGGATCGTAGATTTTTGATATTTCGGATAGAATAGAGCGCTTAGTGATGTGTGTTATAGAAGAAGGTTGGATGTTGAAACGCAATTCGTCAGGTTCTGGAGACCAGTATAACCCAAGAAGTTTATTACTAGTACCATCACAGAATTGTTTTTGATTAGATTCATCGAGAGAACAGAGATTAGCTAAAGGAAAAATGCTAGCGTCATTGGAGGACCATTTACGTAGGTTGAAACAACCACTCTTCAGGATAGAAGAGACCTCACGGCACAATTGAGCTACTTCAGAACGAGTACTGCCACCGGAGATGAAATCATCGACGTAAAAATCGTTGGCAATAGCCGCAGAAGCATTTGGAAACAAGGCAGAATTTTCA